AGACCCCCTACCACTCCTACACACACACTCACACCCAGACCCACACCCACTCCCAGACCCACACCTACTCTTTATTTATATTTTGTGATTTCATTTTTTCAATTAGGTTTTTTTATTTTTAGTCTTACTACAGTATGCATAGCATTTTATTTTTATATTTTTTATTGTAATATTAACGATATTAGGGAATTAAATATTCGAAAGATATGTCCCATGGATCCACTATCTCTACAACAACATCGGCACCGATGCTGAATCTACTACCTATGCTTCCAGTACTTTATATATGCTTATCGTTTAATTTTGTTTTCCATTTGTCATCAATCGGACTTGGATTTTGGTGTAAAAAAAATTTTAATAATGGTCTCAAAGAAGCAGCATTTCAGAGTGATTTTGATACATTTATTACAAGAATGTCGTCAGTTAATTAGATTATTAATCAAAACACAAAATAAATAAAGAGGATCATCTATTTCTTTCGTTTATTCGAAATAAAATTTATAATAATTATATTTATTGATAACCATCAGATTATGTTTCAATTCTTTCAAATCTATGAGGGGCGTGGGTGTGGGTGTGCGGTGCGGATGTGGGTGTGGGTGTGGGTGTGGGTGTGGGTCTGGGTGTGGGTGTGCGGTGCGGATGTGGGTGTGGGTGTGCGGTGCGGATGTGGTTCTGGATGAGGGTATCCTCCCTCTCCGTACCCACACCCACAACCACACCCACACTACATCCACACTCTGTATGCAAAATTCCATTGCCGCTTCTGAAAGTATGTTTACGCAAATGAAAGAAATGTAAAGGCATATAGAAAAATGAATTTTCATCGCAATATCAAAGCGATACATTTTAACGAAAAGGAACAAAAACTAATTGAATCTTTTACTTTTTCAAAATGAATGAAATAGAGTGAATGATAAGAATGTACAAAAAGCACAATGTATAATATCCACTGTCTTTATTTAGGGTAGGTATGAGTGTGGGTGTGGGTGTGGGTGCAAGCACAAAATACCTTTACGTCCATATTCACACACACACACATTCAGAACTCACACACCCACATCCAAACTGAATTAAAAAGAAATACGATTGGATTTAGTGGTACATAAGAGGATGAAAAGCGATCTCTTAAATCTGAATGGCTTGACAAAAGCATGGTTCTTTCCATCATTTAAATAATCAAAAGCAATGGCCAAAGAAGAATCACATTTCAAAAACCTATCTAAGATTTCAAATAGATCCTAGTAGTTGATCCTATGAACGATATTTCTCAGTCATCCAAAAACGTCCGATTGGCTGACGTTACTGACGAAAAGACAGACACTTAGTCACAAATCGCTGCGCTTCGAGAAAGATATTTCCGAGAACATGCAGTCTGGGATTTTCGGCCTCTTGTATATGATTGAGATAAATAAGCTGCAAATTAGTATTTTGGTCTCGTTCGAGTTTCGAAACACGAAAGAGAGTGGCTGGCAGAATTAAAACTTCCCGTTCATGTTCGAATTGCGAAATGCAGGGAAGATCATCTGAACACTCGTACAGTTGAATGGCTCCATTACATGGACGATCAAAATTGAAGATTATTAGTGTTTTAATGCGATCAGGTGGTGTCATATCCGAATAGAATGCGGCTATATCACGTTCGATCGATGACGACAAGAACTGATAGACCCCAAGAAGTCGATCGTTATTCTTCAGTGCCCATTCGTAAGTCCGAAGATCATCGCGAGTTAACGACAAACCGCGATATGATGTTCCTCGAAAAAAGCGTGGACTGAGAGAACGCAGATTGCTCCAAATGAGAAGTAGGAACGTAGCTGCGTCTTCGGAGTTCTCCTTCAAACGGGTGTAGAGAGGGGAGTTCATTGTGTAGAGAGAAAGAAGTGGCTCCGGATTTTGTGTTTGCTTGAACTCCTCAAGTCGCGCACGAATCGCAGGATATTGTGTGGAAGTTGGTGTGATAATTTTATCAACGAGCTGTTCGAAATAATGTACAAAGAATGCGAGATTTAGCGTGCTACTCGGATCGATGAATCGTGTATATAGATTGAAAAAATTCTGGCACCACGCAGAACTCCAAATGTATTTAGACATCGAGAATAGCCGTCGATATTGTGAAGTTTGTTGTTCTGTTTCGATCTGGGTAATCCAAGACGAGGTCGTCCTGACATCTACTTGATTGAGTTCATGAGTATTGACGAACTCAAGTGGCGAAGAATGGACATCCCAGAAGCGAAAATTGGTATCATTTGGTCGATGAAAAAGTTGACGAATTTCGTCTGTTTTAGCCTCTTGGTAAGCCGTCATACCATGTACGTTGCGATGTCGGCGATCGACATGAAGATCGAGAAGAAGACGAACTATGTTAGGATACCCAAAAGATGCAGCTGCATGTAATGCAGTACTACCATTGGGTTCTAGACAATTAATATCAGTGTATTGAAGAGAGGCTAGCAGGCCTCGTACTAGATCCTCATCACCATCCCGACAAGCTTTGTACAAGTCGCTCTCGGAGTCAATGGTTCTTACTTGCAGGCTGATTGCGTTCTTCTTGTGAATCGTGTTCGTTGTTTGATGCATTTGTGAATAGAACTTATGACATTTGTGTTGCATATGCGCGTTTTCTACGACTAGTGAAAAAGATAACATATTGCTTCATTTTTTCGATAAAGCAACTGACTAGCTTTGTCAACGTTGTCGAATTGGACGTGCGATGTGGTTGTGGGTGGGATGGGTTTGTGGGTGTGGGTGTTCTTTCCTATTACATTCATACCCACATCCACACCTACACCCACACCCACACCCACACCTACACCCACACCCACACCCACACCTGCACCTACACCCACACCCACACCCACACCTGCACCCACACCCACACCCACACCTACACCCACACCCACACCCACACCCACATCTACACCCACACCCACATCCACACCTACACCCACACCCACACCCACACCTACACCCACACCCACACCTACACCCACACCCACACCCACGCCCACACCCTATTCTATCCTTAGTAAAAAATATTAACAAAATAAAAGAATTCAATACATTTATTATTCATGAAAAACATAACTTTTATCAAAAAATAAAATGTTTTCTTTTTCATGAAACTCTTATGCAACAAATTAAACGAACTATTGTATTGACACAGAATTATTATCTCTTAGATAAGAAAGAAGATAAAGACGAAAGAGAAAGAATTTTTAGAAACAAATGTTTACGAATATTTTGAGAGAAACAAATTATATCAATCTTGGTTATTATTTGAAAAAGGAAAATAATTTTTTAATACATCATGGTCAAGTCACTTTGGTAGAAAAAAAATGATAAGTGAGGAAACAAATGGTATTGATCAATTAAATATCGGAGAAGGTAAAATATCTGTTATTCTAATTATTCTAAGTGAGATTTTAGCTAATAGTAAGCAAACTGTAAGAATCAATTGTTTATAATCATTAATAAGTATTGTGATAGAATTATTAACGAATAAATTTAATGGTTTATTACAAAAGAAAATCTTGAAAGAATAAAAGAAATGCTTACTGATAGTCAATATGGAAAACATATTCTCTTAGTAACACCTAAACATCGTTTATGTTTTTAATTGAAAAAAAATGTTCTTAGAATATACACAATCAAAGGATATGGATGTTCATTTTGATTGGGATGAACATCATTATCGATTGTATACTTCAACTATTAAACATAGATCGTCTTATAGTTTAACAGACTCACAGAAAATTTAAAGAGATTTAACAATCATTGAAATATATCAGTAGTAATGCTTATCTTGAGAGCTCTATGTAAAAGTTCCGGTTACTATAGGCAATAGATGACTTTCAATTCTTTGATATTCTTGACGAATCTGATGAAATTTTATGTCATGGAAAAGAATAGGATTCCCCAAAACCATTAGATGGTGGTGCAATCCGTTGGAAAATTCGATTTTTATTGTTTAACATGTTTTTTATTGGATAACTGAAAGCCGCTTCTCAACGAAGTAATTGTCCAGTTATTTTTCAAGAAAATTTCAGATCAATAAGTGGAATTGGAGAAGGAAATTCTCTTGTACGTTTTGTAGCATTTGAATATTTTCTAAAAGAAATTGTACCGGACCTTAGTCAACAATTTTGTGAAATATTACTCTCAAAATTTAATCAAAAACCAACTAATATAGTTAGTGATGGAAGCGAAAATTATAAAAGCTAGGAGGATTTCATCCGAGGAAAATCTGTTTCGAAGGAAGAAAAAAATAATTAAATTATTGTCAGTAAAGAGTCAAAATATGTTGAATATTCTTTTACTAGCAAAAGCTTGGTTACATCATGATATACTTTATCATGTCAGGAATTATTGTTATCCAGTTGAATATGGATTGTCAGAAAAAAGAAAATGCTATTCCATTTCGAGGTAAAGATTTACCGTCCGAAAATTCAGAGTTCAGTCACCAAATATTATGATTGGATTTACTATTCTTAGTTATTTGTATCAAGGATTATATTTAGAACAAGTGAAAAAAAAGGATAAATCGAATTAAAAAATGATCCGAAACAAAACCGAGATAGTTTATTACAAACATGGATTAATGGAAGTAAATATTGGATAGACGAAGTAAAGGAGAAAGAAGAAGCATTTCCAGAATGATTGAATTTGATTTTATCAAATATTATTTAACTAATTTTACTTTTCCAAATGATATAAAACATTATGAAAAACAAAGGAAGAACAAAAGGTTTCTCGGGTACTGATGATCATAATGATACGATGCCTAAATCAGTTATACCAGTGCGATTACTATCTCAAAAGGGAACAAATGGTAAAATATTACATATTTCATCACGAAAAATAAATGATAAATATACATCAATTATGTAAATATCTAGTACTACGGCTGTTTTGAATAAAGTTTGTGTTTATGTTAAGGAAAATAAACATTGTTTTGTATTGATTGATGTAGGTGCTATTATTACAGAAATGATGAATATTCACGTATTGAAATATCTCATTAATAAAATTGATAAAAGGTTTCGTAGTATTGTTTATTTTTCTGACGAGGATAATAAAATAATTGTTATATTAAGAAATGAAGAGTCTTTACCATTATCAACATGTCATATTGATAATAAAGAATTATTTGTTTATTTAGATGAAATTCATATTCGTGGAACAGATTTAAAGTTACCTTTAACTGCAAATACTATTGTAATACTCGGAAAAAATATGAGCAAAGATAAACTTATGCAAACAGTTATACGTCTTCGTGATCTTGATTTTATAACGAGTAAACATGTTTTAATATAGGTTACTTATAACACAATTCAAAAAAATGAAAATGATCTTTATCCAATTACTAAAGAGAAATTAAAATACGTTATCAAGAGTAGAGCCCTAAGATATCAGAAAAAAATAGAAATCCTTATAGATTTTCTTATCATAGCATATGTGAGTGAAAATTTGGATGGTATTAAAAAATTATTTGGTATTAATCCTCAGAAACGAAATCCACGAGATCTTCTAAACCAAAATGCGAGTATCTACTAAGCAACCTAAAAAGCTGATTAGTGAAATCGAAAATGGAAAAAATTATCAAAATAACAGATTCAAAATTTCCAAAGTGAATTTTAACTGTTGATGCTGATTTTGATGGTAATCAAGAAAACGAGAAAGAAGTTGAAGAAATGCAGCAAGTTAAAGATGTTCACATAATAGATAAAAGATCAATTCTCGAAACTTCATGAGATTTTAATATAGGTTTTGAGCAAAATTTTAAGAGAAATGAATTACAAGGCGCAAGTAATTATCCAAAACTTAAAGAATTAATTAGATGTTTTGAGTTCATCGAAATTGACAGTTTAAAAAGTTTGAAATGGCACGGCGAAATTTTTGTAACAGAAAATTTTATCAAAACAATATTAAGTGAAGATGATGGAAATGAGAAATATTATATGGATTACTTAAAACCAGTGAATATGATATTAGTTCATAGAACAAAGAATAATCTGTTTTATTATAGTTTCTTTGTTTGAAGCTAAAAATCTCATTCCATTATGTTATGAAAGAAACGATCCTGAAGTCAGTCTAATTCATATAGATGACATCAATTGTCCTACTATGATACCAAAAAAAAAATACTATTCAATTAAGAAAAGATGAAATTAATGATATCATAATCATTATTCGATTATTTAATCAAGAATTTCGTTATAAAAAAAGAAGTTAATGTAATAAAAACAAATGTCTTGCTTTTGTTGATAGACATTGTTTTCAGGAAAAAAAAGACATAGCATGAACAAATTTATAATGAACGGTTTTATGACTCATAAATTAGCATCTAAATTAATATATCGAAATGATAAAATCTTACTAGAAACAGAAATAAATCATGGAATTGATCGACCAAGTCGATTTCATTGAATCATTCGGAAAAACATTGCAGATGAAGCTGAGCATATTTAGAAATTACCTGGATTAATTAGACAATTGGTTCAAATTAGAGGAAAAAATGGACAATATCTGAGAGTTAGCTAAAAGATATACTCGATATGAATCTAGAAAAACNTTTCGCCGTGCCATTTCAAACTTGTTAAACTGTCAATTTCGATGAACTCAAAACATCTAATTAATTCTTTAAGTTTTGGATAATTACTTGCGCCTTGTAATTCATTTCTCTTAAAATTTTGCTCAAAACAATATTAAGTGAAGATGATGGAAATGAGAAATATTATATGGATTACTTAAAACCAGTGAATATGATATTAGTTCATAGAACAAAGAATAATCTATGTTTTATTATAGTTTCTTGGTTTGAAGCTAAAAATCTCATTCCATTATGTTATGAAAGAAACGATCCTGAAGTCAGTCTAATTCATATAGATGACATCAATGGTCCTACTATGATACCAAAAAAAAATACTATTCAATTAAGAAAAGATGAAATTAATGATATCATAATCATTATTCGATTATTTAATCAAGAATTTTGTTATAAAAAAAGAAGTTAATGTAATAAAAACAAATGTCTTGCTTTTGTTGATAGACATTGTTTTCAGGAAAAAAAGACATAGTATGAACAAATTTATAATGAACGGTTTTATGACTCATAAATTAGCATCTAAATTAATATATCGAAATGATAAAATCTTACTAATTAGAAACAGAAATAAATCATGGAATTGATCGACCAAGTCGGTTTCATTCAATCATTCGGAAAAACATTGCAGATGAAGCTGAGCATATTTAGAAATTACCTGGATTAATTAGACAATTGGTTCAAATTAGAGGAAAAAATGGACAATATCTGAGAGTTAGCTAAAATATATACTCGATATGAATCTAGAAAAACACTAATACCTGTTTTTTCTAACAGTTCTCAATTAAATTTATAAAGAAGCTTCCTTAACACATAAAAAGTTTTATCTTGAGAAGTTTTCCAGGAACAAAATGTGGTCAATTAATTTTTGATAGCGGACACTATCTTTCTGCCGGTTGTTATATCATTCTATTACTTTACTTTTTCATCAATATGTCGTACTAATATTTTTGCTTTGTTTGTCTTTTTCTACTTAACTGAAATTTTCTTGTAACTGATGAACATATACTTGTTTCATTTAAATGTATTCTATTGAAAACTTAATACTTCTGTTTTTTGTTCTTTTGAAATGTGTTTAATCATGTCTTAACTAATTGTAAATCATATTTTGAATCTTTCTTTTTGACAGTTATGATTATCCGAAGTGATATCTTTATTGTATGTTATGGACATAAAAATCCACAAGAAATACCACAGAACTGTTTTGGCCCTAGCTATGTATGCTATTCTATTAGATCGAAACAGAATTCTTTCGAAATAAAATTATCAAATATCACAAAAGGATAGAAGTTTTTCTTTGGAACAATGGATGGAATGTCAAATAAGATTAATACTATAATATTGATCAGACTTTATAAAGAAAAAAAAAGATAACTTGAATATGATCGATAATTTTTGTTTATTGTTGATGCGGAGTTTGTTTAAAACATTTAATTAATCGTGAGAAAGGTATTGAACCACAAGTACCAACTGGACCAATAATTAGACACAATGGTAAAAAGAAAAACATTGCAAAACTCCATGATGTTAGCACTAAAAAAATTTCAATGAATACAAAACTCTTAACTGATAATTTTATTTGTTTGTTATTAAACATACTAATTGCCATTAAAAATTGTCCCATTTGTTGAATAGCAATAACTGATGCAAATGTCATGGAAAATCCAGCAGCAAATGTTGTAAAAGCAGCCATAAATACTGCCGAACCAACACGTAATACAGATCCTCTTACACATGTTGTACGTTCATCTTGTTGTTTTCTATACATAACACATGAAGTACTTATTTCTAAATTAAAAAAAATCTTCATCTTTATAGGGTGTGGGTGGGGTGTGGGTGTGGGTGGGGTGTGGGTGTGGGTGTGGGTGGGTGTGGGTGTGGGTGTGGGTGTGGGTGTGGGTGGAGGTGGGGGTGGGCGTGTCGGTGTGGGTATCCATTCCGAGAAGACACAAGTCCACACCCACACCGACCCACACCCACACTCACACCCTCACCCACACCCACTCCCACACTCTCACCCACATCCACCCACACCCACAGCCCACACACCCACACCCACACCCACACCCACACCCTCATAATGGAGAACTGAATTTTGCTATCAATAGATTGGGTGCAATTTTGGAATTTGATTTATATGACATTTTAAAGATTCTTTTAATCTAACATTGTTTCTTTCTGCACACTGATTGGCGTTATAATTACTTAAGGAAGATTATAAGTCAATTATCTCGAGAACGGTAAAATCAGAGATCTGTATTTTTCATCAATCGAAGGAGAAGATATCAAGATATCTTTGTCATTGATTATAAACATAAAGCAATCATCCTAATTCAACTACTTGAAAACTTAACTGTCACTTTTTCGTTTTTTTATCTGTTTTAACTTTTGTTTAAATGTTGTGTTTGTGTGGTCTGTTATGTATCTGTGCACGTTCTCTTTTCTTTTGCTTGTTCTCTACTTTGTATCCTGTATTTATCTTAGATGCGGTTTTCTCATTATTCTTTTTCTCTTTCTTCTGCTTTTCTACATGTAGAATCTTTCCTTCTTTTTGTACCTTCTGTGTACCTTTATCTCATTGTTTTTTCTCTCACTCTTCTCATCTCTGGTACTATTAGGATCTTAGGATCACAGTTATTACATAATAAAAAAAATTTCACTGTCACTCAGATGAAATTTTGAAATAAATTTACAAAAATTCGTTTAGAAATTGATATCATTCCAGAATACTCGAGATTGCAACTGTACTATATAATTCGTTTTATATTAAAATGTAAAAAAAAATAATCATCGAAGTAATATCTTAAACTGTAAATCTCAAGTCTCTTTGTACAAAGTATTATTCTGAATCAGAATTTCATTGAAATAATAGTTAATTTGCATTCAATTTTTCAAATGTTTCGTACAACGATCGACTTTAAATGGTTTCTTCTTATAAGTATGATCGAAGAAAAGTATATGTAAANTGAAGATAGACTGAAAATGGAAAAAATTATTAAAAGAATAGATTCAAAACTTCTAAAAAGAATTCTAACTGTTGATGCTGATTTTGATGGTACTCAAGAAAAGGAGAGAGAAATTGAAGAAATGCAGCAGGTAAAAGATATTCACGTAATGGATAAAAAAAACAATAGTCGAAACTTCATGGGATATTAATATAGTTTCTGAGCAAAATTTTAAGAGAAACTGATTACAAGGCACAAGTAATTATCCAAAACTTAAAGAATTAAACAGATGTTTTTGAATTCACCGAAACTGATGGTTTAAAAAGTTTGAAATGGCACAGTGAAGTTTTTTTTAACAGAAAATTTCATCAAAACAATATTAGTTGAAGATGATAGAAATGAGAAATATCAAACGGATTACTTAAAACCCGTGAATATGATATTAATTCATAGAACAAATACTAATCTGTTTTATTATAGTTTCTATGTTTGAGGCTAGAAATATCATTCCATTATGTTATGAAAGAAATGATCCTAAAGTAAGTCGAATGCATATAGATGACGTCAATGGTCCCACTATGCTATTCAATTAAGAAAAGATGAAATTAAAGACATCGTAACCGTTATTCGATTATTTAATGGAGATTGTCATTGTAAAAAAGAAGAAATTAATGTAATAAAAAAATGTCTTACTTTTGTTAATAGACATTGTTTTCATGAGAAAAAAAATATCATCTGAACAAATTTAAAATGAACTTGAATCACAACAGTACATAGTGAACATTTTTATGACTCATAAATTAGCATCTAAATTAATAGATCGAAATGAAAAAGTCTTACTAGAAGCAGAAATAAATCATGGAGTCGATCTGCAAAATCGATTTCATTCAATTATTCAGGAAATTATTGTAGATGAAGCTGAGCATATTTGGAAATTACCTGGATTAATTAGACAATTGGCTCAAATTAGAGGAAAAAATGAACAGTATCTGAGGAATGAGCTAAAAGATATACTCGAAATGAATCTAGAAAAACTCTAATGCCTATTTTTTCTAACAGTTCTCAATTAAATTATAACTGAAATTTTCTTGTAACTGATGAACATGCACTTGTTTCATTTCTATGTATTGTATTGAAAACTAGTACTTGTGTTTTTCTTCTTTTAAAAGGTGTGGATGAGGGCATGTGGCTTTAATAAAGACAACACACCCACACTAGCCAGTTGTTACTATTTTCTAGTTTTTTTTTAACAATATAATTATAATAGAAGACATTTGTATAACCTCTACCTGAAGTGATTGTTGTTGTCTGTATAGTCCTAAACGATAGAAATATGTTCAATAATATCCTATATATGATAGATGTGTGAAAACGATGCTAACACAATGCACATTAATATATATAAGAAACGAAACGTACAACAATAAGCAAATTATTATAAGTATTATTCACTTATATTCACTGATTGAAAATGATGCCTAACGAACATATAAAGGAGAAAACATGGTAAAGTATTAGTGAAAGATATAAATCCTAAGCAAGGTTCAAAACTAGTCCTACCACACACCGCTAATGAAATCGTTTTTTGTATAGATCCTCATTAGGATCTGGTTGAACAAAATTTTCAACTCGAAGTCATGTAATTAATTTGTTATTGCTTCAGACTTGAATGGTGTTCTTAGAGTCCTTAATGAAATTCTATTCATGTGAGGGTGGGTGTGGATATGAGTAGGAATCTTTTCTTCACTCATTCCTACTCTTACCCCACATACATCCAAACTCACACCCGCCCTTATCAAATATTACAAAAAGATAAAAATTATCTTTTGGACTAATGAATGGAATGTCATGTAAGATTTATTCTATAATATTGATCAGACTTTATAACGAAAAAAAAGAAAATAACCTAAATATGATTGATAATTTTTGTTTATTGTTGACGCGGAGTTTGTTTAAAGCATTTAATTATTCTTGAGAAAGAAATCGAACCACAAGTACCAACTGGACCAATAATTAGACATAATGGTAAAAAGAAAAACATTGCAAAACTCCATGATGTTAGCACTAAAAAAAAATTCATAACTGATAATTTTATTTATTTGTTATTAAACATACTAATTGCCATTAAAAATTGTCCCATTTGTCGAATAGCAATAACTGATGCAAATATCATGGAAAAACCAGCAGCGAATGTTGTAAAAGCAGCCATAAATACTGCCGAACCAACGCGTAATATTGATCCTCTTACACGTGTTGCACGTTCAACTTGTTGTTTTCTATACATAACACGCCAAGTATTTATTTCTAAAATACAAAAATCTTAACTTTTTTTTATTATACTAAAAATAAATTACTACTATCATCTTTATTTCCATTAGGTTTCGATTGATCTTCAACCTTTTTTCTTTCATTATCAATATCTGTTGGGTCTGTATGAATATAACCAACACCAAAATGAACAACAAAATCTACTGATAGACCAACAGCCATAACAATAACAATACCTTCAATAATTCCTAATTCCCATTCTAATACAACAAATACACCAACAGTAATAGCTAACGAGAAGAAATTTATTTTTCAAAAAATCTTTTTGTTAAAAAAGAAACAAACTATTAGATCAATCCATGTGAGATTAAACACAATAATCATAAAAAAAATTATGTTATTCCACTTATTTTGGGACTCATTTCTTCATCATTTTCTTTTTTTAACCTAATCCTCTAAAAATATAAGAAGGTATTGATCTACATTATATAAAATTTAAAAATCAATATCCTTCATTCTTGTACGAATATGCTTAAACTGTGAATTAAAACCAGAAGATAATTTTTTAAATTCGTACACGTTTACATAAATACAACAACGATTATTTCATAAAAGTGAAGGTTTTGATGCTACTGTTAGTTCGATAAATTTTGTTTCCTTTCCACTTTTTTTATTTCGATATTTTTACTTTCGATCAAATTTACAACACTCCATTTAAAGAATATTTCATAGGAAAATAAAGGATGCTTACCAATAGCAAATGTAATAGTAATTAATGCATATACTGCAATAAATAAATTGCCTGATGTAAGAAATAATACCACTAAGGCAATACCCAATGATACAAGAAGAGAAGAAGAGGACCCAGAAAGTAATTCACGTTGAACACCATAAAATGCAAAATTTGATGAAGAAAACCAAGCATGCTTCAGATGTTCTGGTGCATGTTGTTTTATATATGGATCAAAGAAATTTTTTACTTTCATATAATATTTATTGTAAGAATTATAATCGGTACGATTATGAACACCTGAAAGAGGTAAGAAATATATTTTAGAAATAGATATATCTAAAATACTAAGATGTCGAAAAGTAATCATTTCTTTTTTTTTTATTTAATCGACTAATTATAGGTATTTCAAATCGATCATCTATATTTTACCAAAGATAATTCAAGTCTACGAATGACAACGATGTCTTAATCAATACTCTTCATCGAACTATCTTATAAATTATAAGATCGAAAACCACGTAAAAACTTTATGTGAAAAACTTCAAGTTAAATCTCGAAAACTAACTTGCCGAGTATTACTAAAGAAAATTACAATATTCTGCTTAAAAAAATACAATTTAATCATTAGTATAGGAAATCGATACTTTAAATTAGATCATAATGGTAATTCTCTCACCTCGAATAGTAATCAAAACAGCAAATGGTCGAACACTTCCATCGATTGGTGATGGTTTATCAGGTAAAACTGCCCAATTAAATGATCGTTGTTTAGTAAGTATTCTATTACAAAAATCCATTGGTAAATTATCAGCACCAGCTACACCTGTTATACATTGCATAGCTGTTTTTAATGCTGAACATTGATATTCGTCTGTCAATGCATCACGTAGTGTATTATTTAAAGATATTCGAGTTTCATTAACATCATAATTACTTTGAATCTATAATTATTCATTGAACAAAGAAAAGAAAAATATCATTAAAAAACTAACCTGTTCTTTATAAATTCTTTCTAATGTTCTATTGAATGATTTTCGATAATTTGAATAAGTAATAACTGGATTTAATCGATTTTTTAATTGTTTATTACTTATTTTATATAAAGTTAAATTTATTTTATCTAATTTTTTTTCAACATATCCATCATGATCAGATTGATCATTTTCAATTTTATAATCAATTGTACGTACTGTATCAGAAATTAAATTATCGATGAAAATTTTATTTATTTTTTGTATATATTTAATCATATTAAAATGACTTGTTTTTGATGCATTTAATTTAACTCGATCATTAATAACTTTTGCTACTAAAATATCATCCGTAGCAAGCTATAGAAGAAAAAAAAATAATAAATTATTAATTAATCATATACATGAAGAAATAAATTTACTTCATAAAATAATTTAAAATCTTCTTCTAAATCATAATTTGACAAAAATAAATCTTTTCGTGTTCCTAAATGTTTAATAAAATTTTTAAAAAATTCAAGTGTGATTTGTCGATTTAAATATAATGGCATTAAATGTAAACGACCACGATCATTCATATTAAATATATAACTGTAACGATCAATAGGGCCCTGACTGGCTGTTGATACGTAATGACAAACTGAATAGAGGTGGAGTAGCTTACCGCCACTCTCGGCAATGATGTTTATTCGCTTCTTCACATATCCAGAGTGTAACAACTTCATACATAATACGCATATATNCATTCATATTAAATATATAACTGTAACGATCAATAGGGCCCTGACTGGCTGTTGATACGTAATGACAAACTGAATAGAGGTGGAGTAGCTTACCGCCACTCTCGGCAATGATGTTTATTCGCTTCTTCACATATCCAGAGTGTAACAACTTCATACATAATACGCATATATATAGGAGAGAGATAGAAGAGAGACAGGAGAGAGATATATTAGAACAACGGAGAGAGAACAGACAGAGAAGAAAGGAGGATCATCGAACCGTGTCATCAATATCGGCACAATAACCATCATCAATATCACGTATGCCAAAAACAAATGAAATAGCTGGATAAGTAAATAAACGTTTATCTTCTTTTAAATAACCATTAAATTGACTTTTCATTGAAAATTCATAGATTTCCATTGGATTATCTTTTAAAAACAAAGCAGTTTTTTGTGTTGATGGTACTTTTAATTTAGGATAGTAAAAGCTACCAATAAGACCTACAGATAATGCATTAATAAAAACAATATTTTATCTATTTTAAAATTGAGAAAATAAATCATCTAACCTAGAATACCCATAAGAAGAAAAATTAATACTGATACATAACGTAATTTAATAATTATTAATGGCATAAAATGACCAAAAATATAATTTCGAAAATCTCTACAAGCTGATGAAAAACGATGATATAATTTCGCTGGTGCACTATTTACTGCTTTATTGACAAAATTAGTACAACACATTGAAAGTACATGAAATATTATATTTTGAATATGCTTTTCATAAATAACCTTCAATATGAAAACAAAGAAAAAAACAATAGTGTAATTGTTCTTTTTTCTTTCGCCAAATATTCTTTAAATATAATTCAACTTACAGCAAAAGCAGCGATTGTAGTAAATGTAATAGCAAAATAAATTAAAACACATGTTCCAACAAAAATTCCAAATAGTTGAATAAATGAAATATTAGTTAATATATTTGTAAAAAAAGCAGCTGATGTTGTAAATGATGTAACAAACATTGATGAACCAGCATGTTTTAATGTATTAGACATTATTTCTACTAATGCTTCTTCACTTAATAATACTTTACGAATTTCTTCAGGATGTTTAAATAAAGATAAACAATGAGAAGATGATCTTTTTAATTTGTTTGGATTCTCTTGTTGATTTGAAGGTACATCATCATAGTTATTTGTAGAATTTAATAATATATCTGCATCTAAATTAATGAAATAAATAATATATTAAAATAAATAAAATAAAATTTACTTTCAGCTAATAGTTTATTTTGATATTTTCTTAGCCATTCTAGTTTTTCTTGATCCCATCTATCAAAAAATACAAATATATCATCACAACCAATACCAATTAATATAAACGCAGACATTAAATTCAAAAATGGAAATATTGGTATGCGATAAATTATATTATATACAAAGCAGCCCATACCTAATGATAATGCAGTTCCAGTAATAATCATTAACGCTATTGTAATACTTCGTAAATAACATATTGTTATGCCAATAATTAATGCTGCTGCCATTATAATAAGTAACATATCTAAATAATAGATATTTTGCTTGTTTTCATTTTCATACAATCAGAGCTTTACAATTAATATAAATTCAATGATTGTTTATCAATGAGAAAAAGAAGAATCCAGTGAGGAAACTGTTTCCATCATCTTGTCTAATTGCTGATTTTTATGATATTATAAATATATAGTAGATAATATAACTTGGACACTAGATAAATTTATTTCAGCTGATTGTATGTAAATGTTTCGGAAATCAGACAAAGATTTTTCTAAAACCTTTGATTTTTTTACGATCTTTTTGTAACACAAGTACTTTAAAGGAACCCTTCCCCTTTCCGAGGTTTCTCGAAAACGGCTCAGTGAAAATTTTTGAAACTCTTAGAGTACGACTTGTCCACGTAACGCAACACTTCGCTGAGCAAGTTTCGAAAAATTTGTTTTTCGAGTTGGGTAGATCTGAATGAGTTAATAGATGCAACTTTTAACGCTGATTACGAATTTGACATTTATTTTCTATAAATTATTAGATTTCACCATTGAAAACTGGCTTTTAAACTTTTAAAAGTTGTATTTTGGATTTTCTAACCAAGAAATTTTTCCACAAAAAGCCGAGGAACATACCATTCGGCGCAAAATTTCATTCTCTTCAAAATGGTTTACGTAGTTTTGACTTTCGTGGCTAAGCATGATTCGTAGGCTCTTGTACAGTTTCCAACTTACTGCGTCTCTTGCGAGCTTCCAAGTCGATGTATCAATCTCGTTCTTGCGTAGAACGACTAGTTATACAGAAAAGACTAAGATTTATAAAAATCAAATATTTCTGACTATGTTAAGTGCTTCAAAATTGGTCGACAAAAACTGTGTCACAGCATTACGTTTGTTTTTGGCAATTTTTATCTAAGCAAAAGTAGTTTAAAGAAAACATTTTTTAACGTTTAAAAGTCCGTTCAAAGCTCTACAAAACTGACTCTAGAAGTATTTCATTTGGAGAAATATTTTCATAAGAAATTGCAGTTTTATTAGCGGCTCTGAAGAAAAAGGGTCTTGTTATGTCACAGCGTTACGTTTGGACAACTCGAGTAGATAGATCTCAATGAGTAGAATAAAAGTTGTTATAGACTCTAAATTCGCAAATGCTTCCTTCAGAGAGATTTTGGTAGGTTAAGAGTCAAAAATGATCTGAAGTTTTCCCCCTCTGCAAACATCCATACTACGTTATTTAGAGCTGAAGTTTTTTTTTGTAACAACTAGGAACAAATCTGGGTGTGTATTTTTTTTTCTTTTTGAAAAAAATCGTTCCTGAGTCCCAGGAGAAGCAAAACAATGGAGACACTATCAAAAAACCATGAAAAAAAAACAGATTTTTTCGAAGAGTGCTAATGTTGTAAAATCTGCCACACTTGATAGATATAAAATTTTCAAGAGCAAAAAAAGACACATCCCAAATTTTTCGTTTAAAAAACTGAGTTTGAGAAAATCTCAAAGAAAGTTGCACTTTTGGGCTTTTTAAGCATAAAATTGAGATTTTTCCCGAGTTTCTTATACGGAAAACGATGATTTAGCTTTCTTGAAATGTGCTGATTAGATAGAGGACATTTAGATCTATATACTAGACGTTGAAAACGAAAAGACTCAAAATTTTGGGCCAAGAAAGGAGGGGAGTCCCCTTAAAGAAAAAGTTGAAACTCTTCATTTGGTACTTCTCATCAATGTTATCTTCTAAGTTTCGCAAGTTAATATTCGACAGAAAATAATTCATGTTCACCTACTTACTATAAATGCGCTCATTATACAACTCAATAGACTAGTAACAAAATTTTTCGACTATTGTTTATATATCATGTTATTACTTTTAATAAATGATAAAAAATTATTTGCACAATTTGAAGCAAACCAATTGTTCCTCATAAAATTCAACTATCCTATGTTATAATAGTTTTTTATTAAGTCGACAAATAAAGTCAATAAATCATCTTGAAATATAAATGTTTTACTGTCTATTGAGTGCATAAATATGAAAACGAGATTATTAGGCGAGTAAAGATTTGTTAGGGATAGAAATATCATAAAATCAGTTCATCCTTGATTGATGCATAAGTATGATGGTCTTAGATTACCTTCAAAGTTTCCATTGGAGACTTAGAGTTGTATGGTTTCAAAAACTTTGAGTTGGGGACCAATGCATATTTGTGGAAAAACCAATCTGTAACTGTTAAATCATTGGATAGATAAAACTACTGACATTTATGTTGAGAAACCTTTATTTTCTTTTCTCATTCTTCAGATTAAAGGTTTTACTATGTATGTATCATATAGCTTTTACTTAAGTATTGCAATATTTGATGTTCTTAATCTCAAATATTCAATTGTGAAAACTTCTCCAAATATATTGAAGTCACTTCAAAAAAATAACTATGAATTTTATGAAAATAGGCTAAAGAATTTCCAAGTCCATAAATCTCAATCTATAGAAGATTTATCAAATTTCTCGAGTTGATTTATATAATGTAAGAATGATTTAATTCTTACTTGTCTAATCAAATTTTATAATCAATAAGTAAAAAATAAAAAATTGATTTTACTCTTGTCATACCAATAGAATGAAAAATTTATGCGATTTAATAATCTCAAGGGGAAAAAAGTGAGACTCCTAGAGTGCGTACTCGAATTTATTTTTGGAGTAGAGTGAGTCACGCTTTCCCCCCTTAATAATCTATTCATAAAAAGCTTGTTTTTTCTGTTAGCTAATCAAAATTAAAACTAACCTTCATATACCTGTACCATAGCTGCTTTTTCTCTAACAGCAGCAAAATTTAGTGCAATAAGTTTTACGAATTCATCTTTATATTTTGATAATTGTTGTTTTCGAGAAAATTTCTCTATGTATATTTCAATTAATTGTGGTTCTCTTAAAATTGGTACTAGCAAAATAACTTGTTCAGTTTCATTCAGACATTGATGTTTACATTGACAATATTTTTCACAATTCTCAAATGCTAATTCTTCATTAGCACATGATTTATCAATAAGATTACTTTTATAATCATCAATACAACTACGTTCTTGACAATGTTTTCTTGTATATGGTTGTCGTCTTAAACACATTGTTTGATCACGTGTACGATTATATTTTATTATTTTATAATTTGATATTAATATCATAGATATTGATAATTTTGTATGATTTTTTGAACGTTGAAATTCATTGATAAATTTTTTATCAACAAAATGATCAAATATAAAACGTGTTATATTTTTATAAAAACAAGTGTGACGTAAAGCAGTATAAACAGCTTTAGTTTGTTCTTGATAAGTATAAAAGCCGGGCTGACGTTCAAATGAAACACGATTAAGAAACTTATCACTAAATGGTACATCCATATAACCATTTACATAATATGGTAAACAAGTATGAAGTATTGAGCGAAAATGTTCAGCATCATCAGCTGTAATTAATTGACAATCATTTTTTGATGAATATAATGCAACAAATGTTGCTAATGAAAGACTTCGAACATTATCAAGAGATAGAATATGTTTATATGCCTTTTCCCATCTACATATGGAAAGTAAATGATCAAGAGATAACAAATCATCAGTTAATTGTGTACGTTCAATATAAAATTCTATCATACCATCACGACCTAAAAATGAATTCAGATTAAAATAGGTTAAGAGAAGAATATAAATTATGTTTGAATTGTAAATTAATCTTCGATTTATTCTATATAAAATGTTTTATTTTCCATTTATCGAAAACAGATATTGTATACATCTTAAAGTCGACAGTTATTCCGTGTTTGAAGATTCTTTTTTTCAATTTACTTATTATAACGGAGCATAAGAGAAGATTTTGCACAAGAAAAAAGAAATCTATCAGACAGATTCTATATACTATTTCTAAGAAACATTTGAACAGAAAGAATCCATGTAATATAATTGTTTCAAATAAATGTATAGTCTTAAGAGCTCGTCCGCAATTCAGTAATTTGCAAGGAGCCTCAAAATCTAGACATTAATATGTATGGTAATTTGATCCGGCTTGATTTTAGCATGAACATTTCAAATATAAGTATGTATTGATTAATAACAATCAATTGTATAAATGACTATTTATCGCTTACATATTAAATTTTACTCTATATATATATAGAATTACCTGATCGACCACGATTTTTTTCTTCAATTAGATAAGCATATGATCGAAGCATTTCAAAAGGTAAACGATTTGCTTGATAATTATTTCTATTAATTTGTGGTAGGTTTTTAACAAAATCCATTGCAGTAATATTAATTCTACATTTAAACAAACAAAATATGAACTAAGCATACAAAAATAAAAATCTTACATTTTATCATCAACGTATTTTGTTATTAAATTTTGAATATCAAAATGTTGATCACGATGCCACTGATAAATTGATGATGATTGTGAATTTTCATCATCATGGTAATCAGATGTATTATCTTCATCTAAGTCATTATCATAAAATGATTCATTTACATCTTGATAATCATATAGTTCATCAGAATTTTGATTTGATTGTTTTTTTTCCATAAATCATATTTACCCAATATATCAGATCGATATGAATTTTCATCAAGTTGATCAACAGTTACATTAAGAAATTGTGCAAATACACCAAACGATTCATCTTCTTCTAGTGGTATTTCATAAGCAAGACGAAATCTCTCTGATGCATGACGTAAAACCATTAATTGTGAAAATATTGTCCCTTTTCCGCGCGCTCCCCATCCCTAACATACAGAAATATTGGATTATTTCGCATAACTTTTTTTTACATATGATTTTACTATTCTTGGGTCAGTAAGATCCGGAAACTTTGTAAGAACAAAACCAATAATTGTTAGAGTTATGCAAATAAATAGGACAAAGCCAAGCACAAACCAATGATAACGTACAAGTAAACGTGAATAACTGAAAAAAGATAGAATAAAGTATTAAATTGATTATCAATTTAGTTATGTCGAAACAATAACAAGTGGATGCAAAAAGTTATAATAATCATAAAAAATAATTTTAGAAAAGCTAAACAAAATTTTTTTCTATTCACAAAAATTTGTTTACTTACAGGTTAGTGTATGATAATGACATTGTTAGATAGTTTCAGTGATAGATTCGCATACCAATGTATTGATAAATAGACACGTTCTATTAAAAAATATAACATAAGTAACAATCGATACTCATCTTTATTCTTATCATTTATAGCATTTTGGCCTTTATATATTTATTTGATCATGTTTATATGTTCTACACATTTAGCAAAATTTGCTTGTACACACAAACATAAAAAAAAAACTTTTTTATAATATAAACATCAA